GCTTTCAATGCATGGCTAATTAGTTTCTTCAACAAGACACTGTTCCCTTACAGCTTTCAAAAATATCTATTCCAAAAAAGAAAAGAAAAGAAAAAAAGAAGAAAATCTATTCCAGCACAAAAGGACCCTTTTTTCCACTCTCAAAGACTCTACAGGTTTATATACAGTGCTTCTCTTAACCAAGCTCTGTCTTCGGTCCTTCCTGAGAAGGGGGAGACACTGTATATTTTCAAAAGATCCTCCATTATGCATTAGTGAAGGAACCTGGTCAGGAAGATTAACATGAGCCACAGCAATTTAAACACCAAGCCCACGCACCATTTCAGGAGTACGAAGAGCAAATAAAATGAGCTGAGTTAGAAATCAATGGTATATCCTCACCAGGATGGCTTTTTGTCCGTCCTGGAATGCCTACTGTTTGAATTTCACCTTCTAAAAGACATCATAACAGACTCCAGAAGCCGGCATCTGCCGGAAAAGTTGTGCAAAGGTCAGTCCCAGGTGCCATCCGAATCCTCTTGTTCCACTTCTGAGCCTCACAGAATCGTCCCTGGCTTGTTTGTGCTGAACCAGGTCAGTTCTACCTTCACGAGTGTACCTTTCAAGTCCCTCTCTATTCCGTCCCTCACGAAGATAAAGCATGCAGGAAGTACAATGACATTAAAGAATGAAAACCGAAAAGAATAACACTACGGGAGATAAGACCGATCCAGTCAGACCTGAATTCCTTTTACCTGGTAACTATATAAATATGTAATAATAAAGATTATAAATACTTTAAAAATTCTTTCCTGAAGAAGAAATAAAATGCCATACTAAGGTCTTATTCTAAAACACATAGGAAATGAACACAATTTCTATCATCTCACCTGGATCAAACATCTTTAATAGCAATGTTACGCATTATTAGTGCTTGGCAATTATGGTTGAGAGTGATGTTACAATGTTTAAAGTGTGATGTTTATCTTCCAAGAAAATCCATCGAAATACAAATCCGACCAAAGAATGCTGAGAAATATAGGGCATCACTGAATATAAGATAGACTTCTGAAGCTCTTGCCATTTTCAGAGACTCATATGTGGGTCACTAACCACACAGAGCTCCTGAAGAGAAACACGGAGAACAATGGGCCTTTGGGGAAACATGGAAGTATCCTTCAATGCAGCCCTCACAATTGGCCCATCCACGGTGAAGAGCTAAAATTTCAGCAATAATAAAACCAATATCGACTCTTTAATAAGAAAGCCCTTGACTTAAGGAAGACCTGTTCTCCTTTCCCACTCCAGGGAAGAGTCAATAGCGACTCCTCACTAAGCCGGCCAAGGTGAACAGAGCAGAACAGCAGGAAGAAAATACCCTGCTGCTTGTCTGCCGCCTGAAACAAACCCGGAGCTTCCACAAGCATTCCACTGCCAATGTTTTTAGCAAGATCTCATTTAGTGGAGGAACTGGCTGCTGGTTGAAATGGGTTGTCGATTGGACAGAAAAGCATGTCTTTGCAACAGGCCCCCTCCCAAAGTCTGGGGGATGAGAAGCAGAGATGAGCAACCTTCTACAACCTCCTTTTATCTTCTGGAAAACTAAGACATTCTCTAATGAGGCAAACGGGAGAAGGATCTGGGACCTGGCCAAAAAAATCTGTAGCTGTTAGGAAACAGGGGAAATTGAGGCCTTCTAGAGAAAGTGATAACGGCAATAGCGATGGCCAGCTACTGTGGAACTCTTCTATAGTGGTTACTACAAACACTACCTCTAACACAATCTACAAGAACTCAGGAGGGGACATCATTATCTCAGTTTCATGGGTAATTAAACTGAAATACACAGGAGCTAAGCAACCTGTCCAAGGCCACGCAGAGAATAAACAATGGGGGTGGAGGTTCACTGCAGGACCAAGCTACACAGCAGAAGCTCCTGACCACTGCACATGTGTCCCCGGAAACCTACATCCCACGTGCAATGCTGTCCATCCATTTCTACCTCATCGCTGCTGATATGAGAGAAAAAGCATGATCAGAGAAACACAGATTAAGTGGGATGTGGTTTTCTGGCCTGCCGTTCCTTCCTCTCTTCCAACTCACCACCCAAGTAAACATTCATTTAATTAATCTAATTCGGAGTCTGCCTCATATGAAAAGTCAGGCAATAACGGGGGGCGGGGGAGGGACAACAGAAGAGCGTAATGCATTAAGAATCATTAAGGACAGGATGCCAAGTGTGCTTTCAAGCATCTGTAATCCTAGCACTTGGAGAGCAGAGGCGGGAGGTCTCAGCTATATATTAAGTTGGAAAAGTCAGCATGTCAATATAAGATCCCATCCCCGAAAAAACCCAGACTAGGAAGATGAAGGCTACTTAGAAAGACGGGATGACTCACATAATAAACGTTGCTCCTCTGTTGATGTTTAGGTGCCTTGAACAGGGAGTTGCAGACATAGATATAAAATTTCCAGGGATCCAGTACAGACATTGTGAGATCAGTTAATGGCAAACAAATAAATGGCTCTTAGTGGGGCCATAACATGACCTTTTAAAGAGGAATCAACTATCAGAAAAATATCTTGGGCTTAAGGGAAGTGGTACGTAGAGAAAAATCAAGAAAGAAAAACTTTATTGATGAAGCTAAGCTTGCCTCTCTAATGAAAAACTTTACTGCGGTATCAAGCACATACCTTCTCTCCATTCTTCTTGACTGATGCAGAGGCTAGGGTTTCTGGTTGACTGTCCTCTACAAACGGGACTGGAGGCAGAAGGTAGCCAGCCCACAGTGTTCCCAGAAAACCTGAGTGGTGTTCTGATGTCTTGCCTTATAGCTAGAACGAGCAACGCACTGGGAGCCCAGTGAGGCGAAATTGTAATGGTGACAAAAGTCGCAATCCCGCTTCACGATGGACATTCCGGCTGATCATTGCTCTCTTAGCAGCAAAGAACAGGCGAGAAAATGTAAGCAGTCCAGGTACTATGCTCAATCACCAGGCCATGGAAATAACCAGATATCAGTAAGTGGTTCTCGGGGTGCCTTGCAAGTCCTCGTTCCTTGCTGTTTCCACGGGCTACTACATTTAGAAGCTCCAAGTTATCTACTACAGTGTCCATAGGGGAACTTGATTTAGTGACACCCTATACTAAGGAGGAAAACTGCTATCTTTTCCATATTAAAATCAAGCATACCCTCCACAGAATGAAATTCCAATGTATGGTACTATATCAGTGAACTGCGGAAACATGCTAACTGAAAGAAGCCACTTGACAGGAAACACAGTACCCGGCAGAGGCCGACTCACAGACACAGAAAGTACAGAAAGTAGAATCACGGTTATGAAGGGCGAGGGGAAGGGAGAATGGTAGTTACTACTGAATTGTTTAAGATGGTGGGAAGTTCTGGGAAGGGACAGAGGTAATTATTGCAAAACACTGAATATACTCAATAATGCCGCTGTCCTGTCAATCTAAAATTGGCGAGTTCTGTGGAATGCGCTTTTTAAATATAGTTTTAAAAATCCAAGCAGAGAGTATCTCTTTCACCATTACCAAAGTGGAAAACCAAAAATTTCTCCACGGGGACAGGAACCAGAACGGCCTGTTCCGCTCACAGTGCCTCACAGCAGACTGTGCACAAATGTGTGTACGTAAGTGAATGCCTGCCTGCAAGAAAGAGGCTCTCCTCAGCAGTCGTTACACCGTCTGCAAAGTTCCAGACTTACTTTCTAAGAGGACACATGTGCAGACTGCAGGGGAAGTGGTAATGTTTACCCAGGGCCTCTATCTCCCCTCTTCTTTCTGCAAGTGTGTCTTCCAGTGTCTTAGACAGAGTGTATAGATAATAAATGTTTGCGTGATAAAGACAGGAGAGGGATACTGCAACATAATGTCGGATTACTGCTCTAATAGTTCCCTTTTTAAAATTATTTTTTGTAGATGTACCATTCCTTCTGCCACAGGAAGAAAAAATAAACCTCACAGCTCACACAAGTGAAGGTAAAAATATAAATAGCCAGAACATACCACTCTCAGTAAAAACCACAGCAAACAGCGCATCATCTCATTAGAATCAGATGAAAAATAACAGTTCATGCTTCCATTTACTTTTTGGAAAATAATGAGTGACCAAAACACAAGAAGATTCCAACTCTCCTTTGAACAAAATCCAAATATTCATTCCTAGAAATCAAAGTCCAGTTTTACACTTAAATTTGAATAACTACAGAAGCTCCTCCTCCAATAAATCACTTACTGAGAATCCTAAATTCCAACGTTTTTCTCAATTAGCTGATAAAGCAATGAAGTATTCTTTCTTAGACTGTTTTGTATCACAAAACTAGATAAAACTAGTTTCTAGTCAAGATGCAAGTTACTGATGATTTGGTCAACGGATATTCACTAACCACAGCATGCACATTTCAAGGGAATTCCTATGTTGAAGCATTCCAGTAACATAGTCTAAAGCAAAATATCAAATGCTGACATCCTTAATATTTAGCACCTTCCAAAACGGTGGACCCAGACAAATTCACAGCATCATCTAATGTATTAGTCGCAATGTGAGCAATATAAAAATATATCCTTCAACTTCAAACCCCCTCACTACTTAATACTATGCCTCAATCAATGAAACAAGTAGAATTTCATCCTCTGTCAAGGTTTATATCCCAACCTGGTTCTTCATCTTCTTCCTGAGCAGACAAGCCTCGTTTTGGAGTAGCCTGTCTATTACCCCAGCCTCTCAAGCATGCAGGGGTTCTCCACCCGGTGTCTACAAAGGTAACAACCCACCAGCAGAGCTAGCCCTTCCAGCAGAACTGCATGGAGAATTATCACTTCTATGCGGGAAACCAGAACCACTACAGATATAGTGAAGCTACATGACAGCGCCCTGACCTCTGCCCGGCAACACGCCTGAATCAGGTGCATTCAGGACTCAAGGAGGGGAGAGGGCGAGCAGAGAAAAAGCTCGGATCTCTAACACAGTAGAGACAGCAATTCACAGCCATCAGTTTACCCGGAGGAAAAGTGGTCTCCCGTCCTTCAGTCGCTTGACTCAGAGGGCATTCAGCCGAGCATAACCAGGCAAAACAATCTGCAAGGGCTCTTTAAGCTATAAAAAAGACGAGTTTCCAAGAAATCCGACTCAGCTCTGGCAAAGAAGCAGTCGCTGAACATTTTCTTCATCTTATCTCTGCCACTGGTGTTTACAAACTACAAGCAATAGCCTCGGGAGCCTCCGGAGACTCCCTGAGTAACCCCCATCAGATCCTTAATTTAAATTACCCTTTATCAATCTCTGGCGGTCCTGGCAGTTAAATAGAGGGAGGGAGTAAAATGACATGCATAAAATGAATCCTTTTCAAGTTGTAAATGAGTGAGTCAGGATTCAGACTTGCCGAGATGCTCCAAATAAAAACCCTTGCTAGGATTCCAGGCGTGCTCCGTCTTACCGTTTTGCGGTTGTCTCCTTCAAGCTGGATTCACCTGGAACTCTTTAACATATCTCTAGCAATGTGCTTGCACCAGGCCGGCCTCACACAGCAACTGAATTCACATCTTTCTGCACTAGCAAGCTGAAATGGTACGGCCGTACTACAACCAAGAGAGGGGGAAGCATAAGCAGGGGGGGGAAAAAATCCAGAATTACTCAGAGAAGCTGCTCTCAGTGGAGCAAGACCAAAAAATGGTCTCAGAAGAGCACAAAGGACATGCTAATGTTCAGTATCAGAAGCTTTAACACTTCAGTTTTTCCCTAAAATGATCTATTTTTTTTTTCCTCCAAACACGATGGACTTGCCTGTGGAGTTCCCAGGAAGGCAGAGTAACCGCGCTCTGCAGCAGCTTTGCAGCCAAAGGAAGCATGCATATGCTGTCCAGGCAATTCACAGCACTGTCTCTCCAGAAAGCTATTGATTTGCAATGCAGGGCTGCTTCAGAAGCATATGGAATGGAAGCCAAACAGCTAATGGTGATTGCACATGAGGAAAAACATTTAATCAAGAGATGCACCTTATCATGCTCCATTCAATTTTTTTAAAAGCACTAGAGAAAGCCAGTAAGTGTCCTGAGTGACAATCCCATTAAATAATAATCTGAGGTCCTATAAAAGGCCAAGTTTAGGCTACTAGCATCAATGTTGCAAGAGCTTGGAAAATGGTTTAATGTGTCAATATGCATACATTTGTCATATGTAAATGAGACATAATGAGAACTCTAAAATTACCATGCCTCAAATACATGAGGTTAAAAAAAAAAATCAAAATCACACAGGTGTGGCATTTACTGAGCCCAAGTGAGAGAATGCATAGCTATGAGTTTGAAGAATTACTGTGGGCTTAGGACCCACAACACCCTCAAAAATAAAATACCAACACAAACCAGAGTACACAATCTTGAAGTAAATTGTGCCAAGTCATGCCAGAAGGTGCTGGGTGGCAAAGGAGTACTAAACTGCTACTCTCTTAGCGCCCCCTACAGGAGAGAGGCTGATCTAGGCATTGCTACGCCTGAAAACAAGCCACCAAGGTTCATAAATTAAAGTGCAACAAAATTGGAAAATAACTTACACAAGAAATTTTAAAGTGTCACGGCAATCCCACTTCATAAACGTTAGTTGCATGATGAATACAGTCATGAGACACGGTAACCACTACGCTAATGGGGAGTGGGCCGTATCCCAAAGCTCTGGTCTTAAGTCTGTGTGTGGCCAGAAGGTTGAGAAAGAACAATCTACCCATCACATCCCAGCTGATCCAAATGAACCACCTTGCCTTCCTGCTACTTCACCCTCATCACTCTGAATGACCCCTCAGAAATAAGGACCTTGATTTTTGTCTGCAACACAAAAGAAATTACCCTGCAAAATCCTACCCAAATCAAACAAATCAATAGAAACCAAAAAACCCATTAAAATAAAAATATTATGTACTTCCTTCTTTACCCAGCTAAGAAATAAGTTATAAACGTGTGTGTCTGTGTGTGTGTGTGTGTGTGTTTGCATTTCAGAAGTCAGGTTCAGACGTCATTCTTGAGAAGCCATCCACCATATTTCCCACTGACCTGGAACTCACAAATAGTCTACACTGCCTCCCAGTGCTGGGGTTGTAAGAATGTACTGCCATGCATGGCATTTTACATGGGTTCCGGGATTGGATTCAGGCCCCCATGTTTGCATGGTGATGTGGGAGTCCCCTCTGTGTGCTGTGATTAGTTCATTAATGGATTAAAGAAACTGTTTTGGACCTATAGCAGGGCAGAACTTAGCTAGGTGGGGTAAAACTAAACTGAATGCTGGGAGGAAGAAGGAAGAGTGAGGAGAAGCCATGAAGCCGCGACCAGAGACAGACATGGTGGAACTTTGCTGGTAGACCACAAGCTTTGTGGTAAAATATATAACACTGGAAATGGGTTAATTCTAGATGTAAGAGCTAGCTAGCAACACATTTAAGTGATTGTCCAAACAGTGCTTTAAATAATATAGTTCCTGTTTCATTATTTCAGGGCTGAGCAGCCAGGAACCAACAAGCGAACTCCCCACTACGGCATGGCAAATACTTTAGGACAGAATTGGCTCCCCAGCCCAAGTTGTCGCCTTAATATCAGAACACTCTAGAACTGTATGAACACTATGTCTGAAGGACAGACTCTAAATCCAAAATGTCTTTCAAGATTTGAGATTCTGTATGGGATTGCCTATCCCTCCAAACCCCAAAGCCAACATCGCTTTGTACTTTAATTATTTAGGATTTAATTATATGCTGTTTCATAAAGTGCTCTTTGTTATTGGTATCACCCCTATTTTAAAGTCCTTGAGTACAAACCATGAAATCACTGGCTTTTTTCCCCTTTAACACACAGCTAGGCATCAAAAAAGCATTGGCTATATTCTTAAAATAACTAATCAATTTCCCAACTCCATGTTTGGGTCCTAAAATTATCTTAAGCAAACTCCCTTCCCACATTCAGTGCTCCCAGAAATAATCCATAATTCAAGTCAGCTTGGTCACTTCACCATAATTCCTATGGTTTATTTTTCCTGAAACTGAATGTGAAATATTCTTGTTTAATAAAGTACTCTGTTTAAAAAAATAAAGGCTGAATAAAAAAAATCTTCTTTACTCTTTTAGTTCTTTATTCCACAAGCATGCATTTATATTGTACTATGAACAACCGTGTTCTCTACAGCCAAGGAGTCAAGTGAGTGACTGGAAAAAACTGCCTACTGCGCACAAGGACCTGAGTGCACTCTGGCACTAGAAGCAGACATGGCATGCAAGACATGAGACCATAATTATCAAATATTTATGTTAGTGAAAAATTATATTTGCCAGAAGATCAGATTAGATCTAACTCAGAAATAAACTTTAGAAAATACTTTCAAGCACTTAACAAAATCTATCATAACACAAAGCTATAGAAATAAAATAAGTTATTCTAATGTGATAAAATAAGTACGGTGCTGGTATGTTAGGACAGGGCCCCACTATGTAGCCCAGGATGGCCCTCAGCGGCCTATGCAGATGTGACTGTCCGCAAACACTTAATCCTCATGCGCCAGCCTCCTTCCTGCGTGCCAGACATAAGCATCCCTGATGAAGCAGGTTTTGACAGGACATGTTAGGGTACAGATAACCTCCTTTCGGTAGCTCAGAACAGACTGCACACAAGAAGGAACGTAAATCTGAGGGCCAGGAAGACAAGGGCATGTGAGGGACAGCTTGAAGCCTCAAGTGGAAGCTGGCTGCGGAGACAGCCAAGCACAGTGGTGGCAACTGTGCAAGCTGAGTGCCAGAAGGTTCCATGCCAGAGCATAAAGGGCCATGGAAAGCACAGCAAGAATTTAGGCATTTTACCCCACGTGAAGTTGCCATGGAATCCAAAGGAAAGTCCTAAGGGACTGCAAGGGAAGAGGCAGGCTGCATGGGGGTTTTCATTGTTCAACAAGGGAATGCTGTAGAAAAATGAACCTAAACAAGGAGGGAAGGGGGAAACACTCAGGAAGCAAGGACAAATGTTTAGACACGACCTTAAAGAAGGCAATGGAATTAGGGACGGGAGATAAAGAATTGTTTTGTTACCTGAAGACTGAATGGACAGGAGGCCTAGCAAAAAGGGAGAGCCCTAGCACAGCTCCCAACTTCTGGTGTAACGAGGAGGAAGAGGGGTCATAACGAATAACAGATAGAGAGGAAAGGCAGCTGCAGGGGCGGAAGCTGCGCTCTGGCGAGTGCATATATGCATGATCAACAGCATGCTGCCTTTTACACACCTGGCTCAGAGCTTCCTAATATCTGGCTCAACCAAGAAGCTAGTCCACCTGATTTCTTGAGGGTATTTTCTCGGGGGGTGGAGGGAGGGAGAAGGCAGGACAAAGAAGGGAAAAAAAAAATCAAAGAAAAATTTGGCCACATATAAAATGCTCGTACCCAACACTGGTCCACCTGAAACTAGAAGATGAGCCATTTATTGCCCCAGGCAGGCAGGCGGCAGGCTCTGACTGGACCCGGAGAGCAAAGGCTCCAGGCGGGGCTGGTCCCCTCCGACAGTGCAGAACTGAAAGGTTCTTGTAGAGCCTGCTGGGTTCTGCTCAGTCAGGGTGCGCCATTCTTCGCTTCCTCAATGCTTATACCTGCTGCAGCCATGTTCCTCTTTGCTCCATCTACCATGGTCTTACCCAGCAATCCCTGGGCCATTCAGCTGGCCCCGGCTTTACACAGCTCTCCACCAACCTCCTCAGTGTAGTCTCGCCCTTCACTCCTTATCACACCTCACTGGTTCTATACACTAATTTGTTTCATTTACTTGTTTATCTTTCCACCCAACCACGCTATAAACCCCTAGGAGCAGGGGCTTCTCTGCATTAGTCCTGGGTGTCCCAGCACCTACATAAACAGGGGCTGGTGACAGGAGTTCAAACCAAGTCTGTGGGTCCGTGTACAACGGAAATGAACAGGGAGCTTGGGTGGTGGCGCATGCCTTTAATCCCAGTAACTGGAAGTCAGAGGCAGGCAGATCTCTGTGAGTTCTAGGCCAGCCTGGTCTACAAGAGCTAGTTCCAGAATAGGCTGCAAAGCTACACAGAGAAAGCCTGTTTCAAAAAACAGAAAGTAAAAGAAAGGGAGAGAGAGAAAGGAAGAGAGAGAAAGAAAAAAAACATACTGTCAACAAATACAACTTTATGGTTG